TTGGTGTCTAATTATTGTTCATAATATTCTTACCTGAAATAGAATCCGTCACTGTCATCAATTAGTTTGTCAAAGTTATTTTCAAATCATACAACGAACAAGCACAGCTAATAATTTTTATTATATTAACCTTTTTCCAACTCGAAAAGAAGCAAATAGAAATCGGGTACCCAATTCAAATTCAGAATGTATTACAATGGACAGCAGATGCGACAAAAGTGAGTCTCACAATAATTGCAAGTATTAAAATTTCCATCTGATTGGTCAATACTACTTCAGAAACGCGTTTGTAAAATGCTAATGGGAACATATCTTAAAATTCAATAGTAATTAACCACTAGTAGCTATAGGTGATATCAACGACATAATCAATGGACATACGTTTTTTGCCACCAATATCACGTGACTTTAAAATGGTATTTGTCGGACTATAGAACACGTTTTCTTTTCGCTCCATGGCAACTTCCGAGGCGAATATCTTGAAAACTAGAAGTCAGATTTCGAAAAAAATTACAGATCTGTAAAGTCATCTCAAATACCTCTCAAACAAGGTACCACTCGACCCAGTTTCCCTATTCAACTTTTGAGGGTGCAACTCACCTCGGTAAGGGAGTGCAATCTAGGAATATTTTGAAATTGCCAAAAAGTGTCCCCTTTGCAACCAAATCGACGTGTTTCGGCGTTTTTCTAATTTCCTGATACTTTTCGAGAAAATCCAGGTGGATCCTTCTTAATTTTCCACTCTGGTATTGAAATTAATTGGAAGTTTTATTTCTGATACACAATCTCAAAAAATAAATTTATGTTGACTGATTACAAAAAAAAAAAAAACTGAGAGTGGAGATGTTCATATAGGGATGTTGCTCTTAGGGCCGGTTACTCAATATAGCGAGTCTCCTCCGGATTGATTTTAAGTTTTAACTCCATGGTAAACGTGTCAAGTTGTAAAGTTTACCCTGGAGCTATGCTTAACCCTGATAACCTGCTATTGAGAAACCGGCCCTTAGGGTCGGTTTCTCAATAGCGTGTCACCTCCGGATTGGTTTTAACTCCAGGGTAAACGTGTCAAGTTTGTAATGTTTACCTATTCTGGAGTTAAGCTTACTTTTCATGCATCCGTTTTCCCGTCAATCCGTTGGAAGGAAGTATTCCTCTATTGGTCCAATATTTTGGCGCCAAGATATTGGCGGGTTAGTTTTAACTGCAGGGTAAGCGTGTCGCAGTTCCTATGTTTACCCTGGAGTTATCCTTAACACGGGGGGTGACCTGCTAATTGCCTGCTATCGAGAAACCGACCCTTAATGGTAAAAATTTATAGAAAATCAACTGCTTTTCCTGCCAATCTTCTCATAGGGATTCGCAGAATCCTTCAAAGGGCAAAAATCCATATAATTTTATCAAAGACACGTTTTGGTTTTGCTAATAGTACCTAATAAAATAATGGGAACAGGGGGGGCTTTATTTGAAATTGATGCAACTTTGCGTACACGCAAATGACGTCATTTGGGATTGAAAATTGGTGCACGGCTTATTTGAAATGTACTTTCTCAATCGAAAATGACGTCATTGGTATCATATTTGCGTGTACGCTAAGTTCAATCAATTCCAAATAAAGCCCCCCTGGAATCTACCTTTTGCTACCAATAAATTTTGCCTACACTATACCTATCTCACTCTAGTCCAAATGAAACAGTAATGGCGCTTGCATTTATTCACCGATGGATCCATTCGTTTCCAACGATGACCTTTCTATCTTTGTCTAATTCATAGAAAATTGGAATAGCTGTCTCATAATGGTGGATTCAGATGGATCAATCGATGAATAAGGAAAGCGCCCTAAAGCTACGTTTACACTTGGAAAGTTTACTGGCGGAAAGTACTTGCCATCACTAAACTTGTTCATTATTTTGTGTTTACATATTTTCAAGTTTATTTGCCAAATATTTATGGCGTTTCCGATTGGTAGATTTAGTGCGGAACTAATGCAATTTTTTCTATTTCTGTCTTTTTCTTCTACAGGTCAATTAAAAGGATGCAAATACACCCAGTGCGCACTGAATCTACCAATCGGAAACGCCATTAGTAAAAAATCAAATGGATCCAAGAAGGGGAGTGCGTGCTGCTTTTAAAGTTGTTTCAAGTGAAATTGTCAAAAATTTAATCATTAAGTTAGAACGCAAGAAAAATAGGAAAAAACCAAGAATCGTAAACAGTGATGTGCCTGTAGACAATGTCAACGTAAACAATTGATTGTCTACGTGTAGACAATTCGAATTGTTTACGTGGGCATTTGTCTACACATTGTCTACATGTGACGTAAACAATAAACTTATCTTAAAAATTTTTAAAAAAAGTTCCAAAATTACAACTACCTAAGTAGCTTATACCTATCACTTTGATATCAGCATTCACTGATTATAACTATGAGGAAAACCGATAATAAAATAAAAATAATTTTTGAAAAAGAAAGTGTGAGGTTAGAATTAAGCGTCATTTATATTATTTTACATTGTTGACACGTTGTCTACATTGTCTACACGTAAAGTGGACAATGAATGTCTACGTGTAGACGCACATCCCTGAATTCGTAAACTCTACAGGATTGATCAATCGGCTAAATTTGTTCACAAGTGCTGTAACATCACCTGCATTCCTAACTTTCAAGATGGCCGCCGATACAGAGATGATAGTTGAGTTTGTGCCGATAATTATTTCATCGTAAATTCAAAGTTTATAAGTGTAATTTAAAGCTTCATTTAATGTGTGTAAGTTTAAAAGACTCATGGCAAAAAATAATCGCGTATTGGCGATTTCGACTACCGATGGGGGCGCTGGCGTTTGTATAGAAATATGGCGGAAAACGAGTAATATTTTGACGTTCAGCATTGTATTTATATGCATTCGTATTTCTTTCGCTAATTTTCTCGTAGTTTTTTCGGTGGTTTTTTACTATATTTTATGAATTTTGAACGTTGTGTTTTTCTTTTGTGCATTATTTCGTATTCATACAACATGAAATATGGAAAATGAAGGCTTGTTTTTGAGTTTGGCCACAGTTTCATCCTATCTGTAGGCTGGCGTAGAAAACACGATCACTATTTTTCTTAGGAAAATAATGAAAATGAATAGAGTTCTGTCAGCAAGTTTTCGGGAATGGCGTTCGTATACAAAGCAGTTTGTGTTATGCTTGGACCGCTTGGACTTGGAGGCAGATGCCATTGAATTCCTGTAATAATCGCACCTTACAGAATCACAATAAAAGCTTTCCCTGTATTATTTCCCACTTTTCGACACAAAACACGTAATTTAATATAGGAACGAACAGAAAACATCGAACAAGCAAGAAAATATTCCAATACGGTATGTAAACAAACGATCTATTACTCGTTAAGTTAGTTCCAAATAGTTCCGCCAGGTGCCGCATTGATTTTTGAAATCGCCAATAACACATCAGTCTGCTAAATTTAAAAAACACAGTTTCCAAAGAAAATAACTTCAAAATAACAATTATTCACGTTTGAAAACGCAAGGAAACTGCACTGTCATAATAGAAAACAAACCGATCAAGGACTGCATGACGTCACTGGCATTCCTCCATGTTCGATATTTTTATGAACCTATCTGGGATTAAGGGATTGAGCAATCCTGTAGAGTTTACGATTCTTGGGAAAAAACGAGTTTTGGTTATTAGAGATTGGATCAGACGTAGAAGTATTCTGGGTGCGTCAGAACGACTCTTAAAGGAAATATCAATAGAAGATCCAGATTCTTTTAGGAATTTCATGAGATTATCATACCAAAAATTTCAAGAACTGAGACTAGTTGAACCTGCTAAATTGACAAACCCAGAAACGTAGATGCGAAGTCCTATTTTTCCTAAAATCAAATTAGAAGTCACATTACGATATCTTGCCACTGGTGATAGGTTTGCTTCCCAGGGCCGTAGCCAGAGTCAAATTTATGATAGGGAATGACAAATTTGACATAGTGCATACACTACTTGCCCCCCCCACCCTTAAATTATAGGTAAACAAGTGGTAATGTTGACGAAGGCAAATCTTTGAATATAAAACTACAGGAAGGAGCGTTTCCTATCTGCCACTACAGACAACGCAGGGACGGAAACGGCCATTTTGAGCCTCCAAATATGGACTCATCATTTGTTTTGATGGTTCGCTGTGTCCTCATTCAAGTGAAGGTTTAATGGATTTTAGCGGTTTTAAGTGATAATAAGCATTAGTATTAGTGCGAAAAGAGTGAGTCATAATATTGACAATCATATCTAAATAAATATACGCGACTGCCAAACCGGAAACACTAGTCGGCCATATGCAACCTCCACATTTTCTGGTCGCGCAGATTCGAGGTTATGCTCCTTCCTGTAGTTTTATATTCAAAGAGGTAAATAAATAACATCTCTGGCAAGTTAACAAAATGGCGCTGATTCTCGCGGCGCCTTGAACGCACCAAGGATAATACACACTAATAGTGGAATCCATTGGTAAGTTCAGTGCGCATTGAGTGTATTCGTGTTCTCTTCTATTAGCATGTAAAAGAAAGTGACACAAATACATGTTTTTTGCACTAATTTTACCAATGGTTTTCGCCATAACTACTACTACTACTACAGGATAGCTTATCCTCATAAGGCCTGTGTATATCAAATTTCAAGCCCCCCATCGCGCCAGAGAACCAGTGATTACGAAGGCAGCGTGTCATTTCTCACTTTGACATGGAGTGTTTTCACCACAGGCTATGATTCCATGATAACATTTTTCATCATAAATGTATATTCTAAACTGCGACCGCTGGCGCAAACAACTGACGACGTAGTTGATGATGTCATCATCAATAGTGTTACACCATATTGCCGGTAAGTAGCAAGTGCACTTTCCCGTGGTTTACAAATGATACGCTTAATAACGGCAATTACTTTCCGTTAGTAAAATATCCACGTGTAAACGCAGCTTTAGATTGTCAAGGACTGTATGAAAAATGACGTTTCGCGACACGTCTTTTAAAATTTGAAAAGTAAACAAACAAACTAACAACAAACCGAACAAAAACATGATTTTCTCTAAAACTAGATTAATTTTCATACTAATTTGTGCTCTAGCATACGAAATAAGTGCATCTCAAACATTGTCACCAAAAAATAAAGGCACCAAAAAGAAATCCGCAGAAAAAACCGATAAAAAACCCTCAAAAGAGAGGTTAGGCCCTCAAAAATATTCAGTTTTCGATAAAAATTTCGTTTCCCAAGAGGTAACAGCTAAAGATATTGTAAATAATCATCGGGCATTTTTCACTGAAACCGACGAGTATAATTTCGATGGACTTGTATTAGGTTACGTGACTCCTGTAAGTATCAAGTTTTATCTAGAACTGAGGTGTATACCATACGATTTTGCATGCGGGAAGTACAATATTATTGCACGATAATATTGTATATAAATTGAGGTACCAATTAGGTATTACCTATCTTCAATAACCTACCTAGTACCTAGCACCTAAATTCTTAGCCGGCATAAGTACCTACATTAGGAAAGTACTTACTCTTGAAGTACAAGACTATGAAATAAATATACTATTCAATAGATTTAAGTACTTGAAGTACAAGAACAAGTTTTTTTTTTTTAAATTATACTTTGATTATTAAATAAACTTGGTTTTACTTCAAGTAAAAACCTGGAGCTTCAAGTAAAGTGGCATTACTTGAGGCATATTTAGTACCTACTTGAAATATGTGCCAGGTGTCAAGTTATAAATTACCACCCCCTGTAACATTGTGTATGATCTAAAATGAAAAAGTTATAGGGAGTGGTACTTGATAACTTGATACCCTGTACTTTGATTAAATTATTTGAAGTGATTTTGGTACTTCAAATATCTAAAATCTTTTTAAAACAAGACAGTTTTTAGTAATTTTTTTACTTATTCACTTGGTTATTCACAATAATAATCTATACTTTAGGTCGAGCCTTAGGTATTCTATTCTGATATCTTATCTGAGCTTTATGTTATTTATTTTTGATTTTTCAACTTCATAAATAAAGTACCTAATAAAAGTACTTTGGTGCTCAGTAATTTTCTATATTTTTTCTTATAACTCGCCCCCAAGGGGCAAACCACCTAGGAATTCTTTGCCAAAAATGTGGGGAATTTAGAGGAATTTGTGGGGAATTTGAAGGAACTCGTCCGAATTTATGAGAATTTGAGGAATTCATGAAAATTTGGAGGAATTTATGGGGAATTTGTGAGGAATTTATGAGGAATTTAAAGGAAATTGTCACATTTAAAAAATTCAAAAGAATAATGAATACAGTTTTTGTAGGCTGATTTCCAAGATTTTTCATGTTGTTATTTTCCACTGAAAATATTTAAAATTTTGGGAAAATGAGCTTCTCACGTTCTTCTTTACATGCAAAAAGTTTCAAAATTTTCCCTTTACTAGTTTTCCAGGAAAACTTTGAAATGTGTGAGACTGTATTTTCAACTAATTCAGTTTTTATGGGTTGATTTCCAAGAATTTTCATGTTACTGTTTTCCACTGGAAAAATTTGAAACTTTGGAAAAATGATCTTCTCACTTTCCTCTTTACATGCAAAAAGTTTCAAAATTATCCCTTCACTAGTTTTCTAAGAAAACTTTGAAATGTGTGAGACCTCGTGTGAGACTGTATTTTCAACTAAATCAGTTTGTGTAGGTCGATTTCCAAGATTTTTCATGTTGCTGTTTTCCACTGAAAAAATTTGAATTTTTGGGAAAATGAGCTTCTCACCTTCCTCTTTGCATGCAAAAAGTTTCAAAATTTTCCCTTCACTAGTTTTCCAGGCAAACTTTGAAATGTGTGAGACTATATTTTCAACTAAATCAGTTTGTGTAGGTTGATTTTCAAGATTTTTCATGTTGCTGTTTTTCACTGGCAAATTTTGAAATTTTGGGAAAATGATCTTCTCATCTTCCTCTTTACATGCAAAAAGTTTCAAAATTTTCCCTCCACTAGTTTTCCAGGAAAACTTTGATCTGTGGGAGACTACTGTATTTTTAACTTATTCAGTTTTTGTAGCTTGATTTCGAAGATTTTTCAAGTTGCTGTTTTCCACTGGAAAAATTTGAAATTTTGGGAAAATGAGCTTCTCACCTTCTTCTTTACATGCAAAAAAGTTTCAAAATTTTCCCTTCACTAGTTTTCCAAGAAAACTTTGATATGTGGGAGACTGTATTTTTAACTAATTCAGTTTTTGTAGCTTGATTTCGAAGATTTTTCATGTTGCTGTTTTCCACTGGAAAAATTTGAAATTTTGGGAAAATGAGCTTCTTACGTTCCTCTTTGCATGCAAAAAGTTTCAAATTTCTTCCTTCACTAGTTTTCCAGGAAAACTTTGAAATGTGTGAGACTGTATTTTCAACTAAATCAGTTTGTGTAGGTTGATTTTCAAGATTTTTCATGTCGCTGTTTTCCACTGGCAAATTTTGAAATTTTGGGAAAATGATCTTCTCACCTTCCTCTTTACATGCAAAAAGTTTCAAATTTCTTCCTTCACTAGTTTTCCAGGAAAACTTTGAAATGTGTGAGACTGTATTTTCAACTAATTCAGTTTTTGTAGGTTAATTTCCAAGATTTTTTATGTTACTGTTTTCCACTGGAAAAATTTGAAATTTTGGGAAAATGATGTTCTCACCTTTCTCTTTACATGCAAAAAGTTCCAAAATTTTCTAGAGGAATTTGTGGGATATTTGGAGAAGTTCGTGCTAGGGTATTTGGAGGAATTTGTGATGGAGTATCTGGAGGAATTTGTAGGAATTTTGAGGTATTATGCGTAAAAAATTCCCCTTTGAGGAATTGTTTGCACCAAGTCTGGGATGGTGGTTTACCCCTTGCTCGCCCCTCAGTTTTAGTCTCAGTTCTAAATCAAGCAGGACATGGTTTCAAAATACTAAGCCGAAATCTATGAAAAAAGGCACTCAGAAAAATTGATAAATCACCCCAAATTGTTTAACACGATTTTATCTCAGGAACTATAAGTGCAAATGAGCTGAAATTTTCAGGGATTGTAGTCCTCTACTGGAATAAGAATCACTGAAAATTTCAGCTTTATATCTTTAATAGAAAAAAAGTTACGACCTTTCAAAGTTTTGCAAAAATCCAAATCATTGGGTAACTATCTCAATACTAAAATCACCTAAAATGATGATTAATGGATAACGAAAGTCTTGATAAACTGACGACCATTTGTTTTTGTTTAAAGTGGAACAACCACGGGTACGACATAGGAAAAATATTCGGCAACAAATTCACCCACATCAGTCCTGTATGGTTACAAGTGCGTAGAAAAGGCCCTAAAAAGTATGAAGTCACAGGAACTCATGATATTGACAAACAATGGGTGGTGGATGTAAGAAACGCTGGAAGAGAACGAAAGACAAAAAGTAGTTTTACCAATAAATAAAAATGTATTAAATTAAAATTGTTGGTTGTAGTTGTACCTAGAGTGCTATTTGATGGTTGGACGGGTAAAGACTATACAGAACTCTTCAACAACCCAAAGGAAAGATTATCTTTGAGTAAAACTTTAATAGAATCTTGCAAAAAGCACAAATTTGATGGATTTGTCATTGAGGTTTGGTCTCAAATTGCTGGAGCTGTTAATCCTGACTCATTGGTGGAACTTATTCGAGACATAAGTACTTATTGCAACATTATATCTTATCTTATATACAAAAAAAATTATACTTAGGTGATTTATTCACTGTGGAAGGCTTAGACTTTATATTGGTAGTACCACCTAAAAGGAATGCCGATTTATTTACCTCAAAACAATTCGATGCCCTTTACGATTATGTTACAGCATTTTCATTGATGACGTACGATTTTGCTGATCCTACAAGACCAGGCAAGAATTATTAATGATTTTTTAATTTATGCTAAGTTGAAGTTTTAGGCCCTAATGCTCCTATTAATTGGATTGAAGACACCATTAGCGCGATTAGTTTAAATGAAACTAGACGCAAAAAAATCCTAATGGGGTTGAATTTTTACGGTAACGATTACACTGCCAATGGGGGTGGGCCTATAGTGGGCCACGAATATATTAAAATACTTGAGCAATTTCCAGAATTGTCTTTTACTTATGTTGATAAAGTTGCAGAACATTTGTTTGAATACAAGTAGGTAAATTGTTGTTAAAATTGCTTAGAATTAAAAATTGTTTTTAGAGATAAGGATGGAATAAATCACTTGGTATTCTATCCAACATTATACTCAATCCTTCAAAGGCTGGAATTGGCTCACAAATTAAAAGTGGGAGTCTCAATTTGGGAAATTGGACAGGGCTTGGACTATTTTTATGATTTATTGTAATTGAATATTTATTATTATAAATAAAAATCAATGCGGCAAGAGAAACAGTACACCTAATAATCCCCTCTAATAAAATATCAAATAAATAAGTTTCAAGCGGCTTGAACTTCACTGAATTGCCTCATCGTTTTCATTGCTTGGGGCAGCCTTATGATCCTGTGCTGCCAAAGCCAAGTTAATTTTGCAGGCAAATATCTAAAAAATTAAATTATAATTTTATTATTATTGATGGTATACAAATCTTAACTGTTTCATTGCCAAAATGTAGCCGGCATTTCCAGGCACGGTGCAATAATCCTCTTCCCGTCTAATAGCCAAAATAATTCTTTTTGCTACATCTTTAGGTTCCAGCATTGGGGCGTGATGGGGCTTGCACCCTTCAAACATGCCACTGTTGATGAAATAGGGACAGACCAGCGTGAGGTTTATGTTGGTCAAACGATTTACCTTAAAAATTACTATTTTAAAATTTCAAAAACAAATATAATTGAGTACCTTTAGTTCTGCTGACAAACTTTCGTGTAGCCCAATTAAGGCGTATTTGGAACCGCTGTAGTCAGTGCACTTGTAGCAACCCAAAAGTCCGGTAAGGCTGCCTACAGTGGCGATGTGGCCTCCACCAAGTTTGATCATGTCGGGTAGAAATGCTTTGATAGTCTAAAATAAATAAAAGTCGTATATGAGTGGCTCGTCGAAGAATCAGGAAAATCAAACGGGGTGTACTTCGAGCAATGTATTTATTAAAATATCTTAGCAGAGTGTTTTCGGCCTCTCGGCCATCCTCAGTGCGTGACACGGTGTGGTTATGTATAGCATAGCAGAACCAAGTTTGAAAAAACTTGTCAGTTAAAGTGTACAGGAACCACTGAATTGATAAATAGTCATAAGTATACATTACATTGTAAATAATAAAATTATGGTTTACAGCGATATTCAACAAAGATCCATGTTTATATTTCAATAATTTTAAAGTTTTTGGTACAAAAGAAATTTAGAATAAAAGAATTACAAAATATAAGTATAAATTTCCTGGGATATAGAGTACAAGTATCGTACTTTACCAGCTTATATGAGTAATGCGTAGGTAATCGATCCTAAGTTGGGTACAAATTATCAAATTATACACTCAACATTTTATTCCCAATGCATATTACATTTTCTAGCAGAATTATCTAAATGCATGACAAGAAACTAAATTAGGTCTATAAACCTAGCAGTCCCAAGGTGGAAAAAAACTTCGGGAACTATATAATAATTAGGTGCTTTTTAGGTGCTAATTAGGGCATCTAATTAAAAATTAGGTGTTCTTTTAGTTTCTGAGAAAATCAAAAAAAACTAAGGGACTGCAAGGTTTATAAAAGCTAGCAGTCCCCTATAGTAAAAAATATTTTTTCTTTGTATCAGAATTAGGTGATTTTTAGGTGCTCCTAATTAGTCCAAGAAAAAATAGAGTTGATTAATTATTAACTGAGTTACAGATTTTTTTTTAATTACTAGGGGACTGCTGGCTTTACGTTTACTTGTTGGTATGTCAGAATGGCAAAAAAACTTTGGGATCCATATAATAATTAGGTGCTTTTTAGCTGCTAATTAGGGCCTCTAATTAAAAATTAGGTGCTCCTTTAGTTTTTAAGAAAATCAAAAAAAAAAAGGGACTGCTAGGTTTATAAAAGCTAGCAGTCCCCTATAGTAAAAAATATTTTTTCAAATTTTTTCTTTTTATCAGAATTAGGTGCTTTTTAGGTGCTCCTAAATAGTCCAAGAAAAAATAGAGTTGATTAATTATTAACTGAGTTACAGATTTTTTTTTTAATTATTAGGGGACTACTGGCTTTACGTTTACATGTTGGTGTGTCAGAATGGAAAAAAAACTTCGAGATCTATATAATAATTAGGTGCTTTTCAGGTGCTAACTAGGGCCTTTAATTAAAAAAACCTAGCAGTCCCTTAGTTTTTTTTTTTTTTGATTTTCTCAAAAACTAGAGGAGTACCTAATTTTTAATTAGAGGCCCTAATAAGCACCTAAAAAGCACCTATAGATCCCGAAGTTTTTTTCCATTTTGACACACCAACATGTAAACGTAAAGCCAGCAGTCCCCTAATAATTAAAAAAAAATCTGTAACTCAGTTAATAATTAATCAATTCTATTTTTTCTTCGACTATTTAAGAGCACCTAAAAAGCACCTAGTTCTGATACCAAAGAAATTTTTGGAAAAATATTTTTCACTATAGGGGACTAGTAGCTTTCATAGACCTAGCAATTCCTTAGTTTTTTTTGATTTTCTCAAAAACTAGAGGAGCACCTAATTTTTAATTAGAGGCCCTAATTAGCACCTAAAAAGCACCTAATTATTATATAGATCTCGAAGTTTTTTCGCCATTCTGATACACCAACATGTAAACGTAAAGCAAGCAGTCCCCTAATAATTAAAAAAAAATCTGTAACTCAGTTAATCAATTCTATTTTTTCTTGGACTATTTAGGAGCACCTAAAAAGCACCTAATTCTGATATAGGGGACTGCTAGGGGTGAATTGCTGACCCAAAATCTGTACACCGACTGCCAAATTCCACAATCTCTAAGGAAATTTGCTAAGATTGTGAGCGATTGTGTACGATTGTGAGTGATTGTGTACGATTGTGAATAATTGTATAAGGATTGTGACTGATTATGAGTGATTGTGACTGATTGTGTCATGATTTTGACTGATTGTGACTGATTGTGTAAGGATTTTGAATGATTGTGTTAAGACAATAGGTGTTTTCTCAAGTGTCAAATGTTTTAAAACGCTTTTAATACTGGTTTAAAACAATGTCACATAGCGTCATAACTTGTCGGCGCGAGAAAATGGTTTCAAAACGTGGATTGGATTGTATTTCGAAACGGTTGGACCAATTTTGATGTGACGTCATGGGTTCATCGCAAGAATATACTGTTTCAAACCTGTTTTGATACAGTTTCAAAAAGTGAACGCTAGAAAACAGCTCTGGTTTATTAATTGGGTTAGAATAAAATAACAATATATCAAAACTGAATTTATAAATAAAAAGAATATGTATTCAGTTTTTTAATCTTTCTTATACACAGTACCTACTCTGAGCAGTTGTACAGGGTGGCGCAGAGGAAACGCATGTTTTTCACGTAGTTATGAGCAAGCATAACATTTTTTTGTTTCCAGGATGATTTTGTTTCAATTAGGTACTCAATTAGGAACAGCTAATAGTTATTAATGATACTAGTCCGATATGAACACCATAATGAAACGCGTGTAACGTTAAACCACGAGGCGTCAGCCGAGTGGTTTAGTTACACAAGTTTCATTAATTAAGTTCATATCGAACGTGTATCATTCAAAATTTAATCTACGATGGTCCAAATAGATTTGATTTGCCTTGAAATAGCAAATACTTTTCAAATTAAAATTCAAAATTTAGCAGGTGCCCGTACTAGTCGGGAACCTGCTTGTTGATTTTTAGTATTTTGACTTTGGCAGCTTCAATATTGGAGTCAATTTTTGTGCCATAAACTCAGTTTTATAGTGGAAAATAATGTTAATATTGGTGATTCTGAGTTCGAAAGTGTCCCTTCAAATATCCAAACAGCATCAGTGAAAAGGTTCTTCTGATAACTAGCTTTCTTTTTGTATATTTTTCATTTCATAATTTGGGTGTTTTTATGAATTCTTAAACGCACTAGTGCTATTATGAAGGACCTAATGGCATTCAAATGACAATGCTAAATGTGTCATAATGACACCGACGTAGATTAATGAAGTAATAATAGTGCACTTCTCAAATAATGAGTCAATTAATAATGAAAAATAATGTCAGTCAAAAAGTGTCGTCCTGCTTTGGGGTCACACATCCCCAACCCCTCTTGAAAGTGGTTCATCACACTTGAAACATGCGTTTCCTATGCGCCACCTATAAAATCTGATTTTTTCAATTCCAGGGTGTCCCTGTCCAACTGGTCAAAAATGCTGGGTATACAGAGGAACTATAGAAAAGTAGTTTTGAGATAGAACAGCGATGGTCGCAAGTGCGTCGTTTCCAAAATACAGGGTGTTGAAATTTAAACAACCCCCTTTCATATCATCTGGAGGGTTAATGCTAGGCTGTTCAAATTTTCAGGAATTATTGATATAAGAATGATATTTAAAAATTCGTAATATTCTCGCATACGAAAGTTGCAGGGACAGGGAGCGTTCAAAATCATCTCAATTTTCGCACGCGAGATTATTCAAGAATTGTGCCCAGATGATATAAGAGGGGGTTGTTTAAATTTCAACACCCTGTATTTTGGAAACGACGCACTTCCGGCCATCGATGTCCTATCTCAAACTACTTCTCTATGGTTCCTCTATATAAACCCTAGCATTTTTGACCAGTTGAACGGGGACGGGTGTCCCACGGTGTATGGCGTATTAGACGTTTATGGAGAGCTAAAAAGTGGATCATTTTGAAAATCTGGCAACTAGGATAAACGACCATAAACTACACCTATTGTGAATTATCTTTATCCCGGCTATGACCTACACCACCGATTTCGACATAATTTTGGGATCTGTGTGTACATTAAAAATGACCTTTCATGTCATCGAGAGGAGAAGCTCGAACCAGCGAACCTTGATATCATATGGCTAAAATTCACCTCAAAGTCATCGACCAAGTTTATCTGCTGCCTCTACCGACCGCCATCTAACACCGAGTACCAAAACTTTTTCGCGACATTATCCGAAAGCTGTGATAGTATACAGTCAAACTATCCACAGGCGGAAATTGTCTTTTTAGGCGATTTCAACGTCCACAATATACCCTGGCTGAAACACCACAACAAAACAGATAACGAAGGCAGAGAAGCAGAAGCTTTTGCCATAAGTTGTGGTCTAACGCAGCTTGTCGATGAACCTACCCGTATCTCAGAAAGGGGCGAATTTGCAGCGCTTTTAGACTTGTTCCTAACCACAAATCCTGACTCGTACACAATTCAAGTAGATGATCCACTTGGTTCGTCCGATCATAAACTTATAATAACAAAGTGCGAAATGCTCATCCCACCAAGCCAACAACCACTTCCTCGTAAAATGTGGCACTATAAATCGGCAAAATGGAATGACCTAAAACAGTATTATATACCTGGATTTTCCATGGCAAGAGGTTTGCTTTAAAACAGCTGATCCCACTATTTGCTGTAATGAAATAACACAAGTAATCTTATCTGGAATGGACACATATATCCCACATACAACTAAACGTAGAGCTAATGCAAAACCTTGGTTCAACAGCCAGTGTCAAACGGCTGTACAGAAAAAACACAGAGCATATAACCTTTGGAAACGACAACAAACCGCTCAAAACCACACAGAATTTATAGAAGCCAGAAATAGTTGCAAAATTACTATTGACTCCGCTAAAGAAACATACAATCAAAGAATAAAAAAAAGGTTGCTGAATTGTCCAAGTAGCTCTAGGTCTTTTTGGTCTCTTGCAAAAGCTGTTGGATCTAACTTCACCAAGTCATCCATACCACCACTTACAGATAAAAATAATCACTTAGCCACAACATCAGAGGAAAAAGCCAATATGCTTGCCCAAATGTTTTCCTCCAACTCCAACCTAACAGTGCCAAACGGAAAAACTCCACCGTTCATTGAAAGGGTTTCCCATAGTATGCCAGAGGTACCCTTTTGTCACAGAGAAATACGAAAATCCCTAAAAAAGCTGGATACAAACAAAGCAATGGGTCCGGATGGCATTCCCGCAATAGTACTCAAAAATTGCGCCAACGAACTCACCCCAACTTTCGCAAAATTATTCAATTTGTCTTACAGGCAAGGAGTATATCCATCATCATGGAAGTCTGCCGCAGTACAGCCCATTCCAAAGAAAGGAAAAAAGACAGATCCGTTAAACTATAGACCAATTGCTCTACTTCCGGTGATATCAAAAGTAATGGAAAGAGTTGTGAACAATCACCTAACCAAGTACTTGGAAAAGTACAAAATTATCAACGATAAGCAATACGGATTTCGAAAATATAGGTCAACTGGCGATTTACTTACATACGTCACTCACTTATGGCAAAAAGCGATTGAGTTGCGGGGTGAAACAAGAACAATTGCCTTAGATATATCTAAAGCATTCGACAAAGTTTGGCATGAAAATCTGCTCAACAAGCTCAAAGCAATGGGATTATCGCCGAAACTTTGTACTTGGTTTGAAAGTTACCTAAAGGACAGATCCATTTATGTTGCACTGGATGGCCAGAACTCCAACTCTTACCAAATAAATGCTGGTGTGCCACAGGGAGCAATCCTTTCGCCAACTCTTTTCCTGATTTACATAAATGACCTCATAGATAAAACAGTAAATCCACTTTATTGCTTTGCAGACGATGGCAATGTAGTCTCCTCACTCATACCACCCACAGGTCTTTCCGCACGTGAATTCCATCATCTTAGACTAACTCAAATATCGCAGATAAATAACGACCTGGAGATAATAGAGGACTGAGGTAACAAAAACCTTGTACAGTTCAACGCGCAGAAAACCCAAGCAGCTCTGTTTTCAAAAAAGACCAGCACCGGTGAGCCAAACATCATGCTATCTGGAAGTACTGTCACATTACAGAGTCAGTTGAACATCTTGGGGATTACTGCAGAGACCAACATGTCTTGGCACAGTCACGTGGCAGATATTGCTAAAAGGGCCTCCCAAAAGCTGGGGGTGCTATTTCGTACAAGACATCTGTACACACCAAGCCAATTGCTGACGCTCTACAAAGCCCAGATTCGACCAACTATGGAGTACTGCTCACATATATGGAGTGCAGCACCCAAATATACCTTAATGCTTTTGAATACCGTGCATAAACGAGCTATCAAGCTGATCAATGACCCCGCACTTACTCGTAACTTGGATGGTCTCGAACATCGCAGATCTATGGGCGATTTATCTCTCTTCTACAGGTACTATCACGGAAAATGCTCTGAAGAGTTGGCACGTATGATTCCACCGAGAGTAGCACCTACCAGGCGAACCCGTCAAACAGACGGTAACCATGAATTTACTGTCAAACTAGAGGCACCAAGAACCTCATTATATCAGAATTCATATCTCTGGAGAACAGCATCGCTGTGGAATAAACTCCCTGCGACGGTTTTCCCTGCAGGTTACAACCTGAACCGTTTCAAGACCAACATACACCGACATTTCCGCGCACTTGCCGCTTCTCGAGCGTGATAGGACATTTCCTTGCGAGTGCGCATATCCGTAAAAAAAAAAAAAAAAAATTGGTACTGCCCATAACTTCCAGTACCATTTGTGCATGGTGGACCAAATTTTGCCAACACATGTTTATTATACAATGGTTTTACTCTCCAATTTATTATAATTTGTAAGAGAAAGGATCCATGCATAGGAATTTAAAATGTTATGGAAAGTTATAAAATAAAATTAATTAACGCCACGCCAGTGATCAATCAGCAATGTTCGGCAATACTCAAACAGCTTATCAATATATATTTGGAGCTCAATTATGGCTTTGAATGTTTTGTATGTGCCTCAGAATTCTCATATTTCAGCATTTTTGTAGTTTTTGCATGCATCATTGATAGAAAAATTATTGTTGGACAAGTACAGACATAAAGTTTTTCTATTTCAGGTGCTTATATTTATTTTATATTCAAATTTTTCCAAAAATTCATGTTCAAAGGGGGGAATCTTTCTTTCAAAATGGTCAAAATTCAAATTTTTTTTGTAGAGATTCCGATTTTATACAATCAATTGGGACCCTAGAAACTCCATACAGTGATTTATTGTAAATCGTAAAAATCACTTATAAATATTGAAGATTCTATGTTGCAATCTTTGAAGTGTTCAAATAGAGTCAGGATTTTGGAAACATAGATTAGAAATACCTGAAGACTTTAACCTTCAATGTTTGAAACTGAAACTTTGAAAAATTAACACCTATGATTGTGAGGATTTTTCAGTAAAGTTTGTAAATACAAGAAAAAATTACCCAAAGTTGAAATCTCCAACTAAGACTCTTAAGATGGAGGTATCCAGAGTCAATAAGCTTCTGAAAGCAATAAAAATTCTAAGTTCTACATCTTTTTCAATTGTATTGCAATTCAGAATAGAAAGTTATTAATCAGATTATAAATTTTTTAATTCAGAAACTTTCCAATAATTTAAATTTTAAACTTAAAAAATTAAAACTCAATACATTATAATACAATAAGCAAATGTCTCGGCATGAAACAACTTGATAATCTTTAATAGATAAACTGGTTTCATGCAAGCTATATTCTCTTTTAATTAGCACCTTATTTGGCCTCATTTATAGACTATAGAAGAGGTCAAGATTGGATTTTCAACAATACAATTAAATTGAAACTTCTTACCCAATAGCAAGACAAAGTATTAACTTTATAAGTCCTCTCAATCATATAATCAGGCAACTCCAAAAACGTTTGTCCGCAAACAACTCCGGCATTGTTGATCAAAACATCAATGGGACCCACTTCGTCTTTGACTTTTTCGGCTGTTTTGTAGACGCTTTCCCTGTCTGCCAAATCTACAACGTATGGGTAAAGCTTGAATCCTTCTTCTGCAACTTTTTCATTTAGTTTTGCTATTGCTTTTTCGTTGATGTCCCAAACGACTACTTTGGCTTTGTACTTGATTAGTTTGAGTACCAGTTCTTGACCTACACCTCCTGCACCTCCAGTTACCAATATTGTTTTACCTCTTAGGGATTTTAGGGTACTAGAATTTATTTGTTATTATTGGGGCTTGATTAATGTGAAAATAAGTACCTTAAAGCTCTTGGAGTGAAGTTGCGCACTATTGATTCAGCTATGTAGTAAAATGATAACCAGGCAAGTACAAGGAAGTTTAAAAAGCGTGCTATGGCTTGTAGAGTTGCTTTGTAGAGGGTGATATAAATGGCTCTTAGGATTCTGAAATCAAAAAATTCTCACACACATATATACGCAAGAAATAATTTTCTTTTAGTTGAATTTCCGTTCTAAATCCAAGACCTGCAATTTGCGTTGCACGCTATATTATTGCAAAAGTGCATGTCCTAGTTAACTATCTAATGATTAATTAAGCTACAACCCTTACTCACTAATTGATGATTATTATAAAGTACCTAATGATTTAATCAATATTTGAATCTGAACTCACCTTTGTACTTTTTTAGTGGTACTAGGCTCCAACTTTTTCTCATCTACAACTTCAACTTTCTGTTTAATGTAATTCATTTTCGATTTGTTTCAGACTTTGATATGTGACCCGTCGGTTGCAAGCGTTCGGTCGACTCTGAAGAAGGTACCCGCACGGTTCTTTGACACAGAACCAGCAGCGGAACCATTTCTCCAAAGCCCCAGGCGGTACCGCACCATGTAGGATACATCAAGTAGGTGATAAATTATTTATTTATTGTTTGCAACAAAAAATCCCATCAACGCTACTGATTTTTTACTAAAAGAAATTATCTTAAACAGCATCTTTGTCTATGAAAGTGATGCTGTTTTGAAAAGAAACTTTGCAAGTCAAATGAGGTTGAAAGCAAAAACAGATCTTATTTTTAGTCCTTTATACATATTATAAAAAATCTGGGTTACAAACAACAAAATGGTACCTTCTTCTTCAATATATGGTTGAATAATCAAATGCAAATACCTATAACAATCTTGACCTAGTGCGGGCAAGTTCATTGCCGTAGAATCGAGAAGCAGGTTCCGTTTGTTTGAAGGACTTTCACCCGTTTACTATGTATCTTCTTTGACCGCAAACATGAACCCATCTTTGCTCTTCTCTTGTGTGTAGAATTTGTTTATCTATATGAAAGGCTTGACCCAATAACGAATTGGATTTGATTTGTAGTAGACAAATATTGATTTTATTTTTTTCAGAGGATTATAGGCATATCAAAATGACTTTTTGTATGTTGGCAGGCCCAACAAGACGGGACAAATTCCCGGGGCCCGTAAGACCTGGGGGGCCTGGATTATACTTTTCAATTTTGCTTTACAAGTGTCACATTCAAAAGAATGAATATCGGAGTGTGTTAATATGTGATTCTTCAAAACGTCTTTTCGCTTAAATTTCGCTTTACAAGTGTCACATTCAAAAGGATAAATATTCAAATGTGTCGAATTGTGATTCTTTAAATTGGTTTTTCGTTTAAATTTGGCTTTGCAAGTATCGCATGCAAAAGCATAAATATTCGAGTGTGTTAAAATGTGATCCTTTAGATTGCCTTTTCGTTTGAATTTCGCTTTGCAAGTGTCACATTCGAAAAGACAAATATCCGAATGTGTAATTGAATGATATTTCAAGCTTGTTTCGGTCTTAAATACAGTATTGCAAATAAAACATTGGAACTTCCTGATAACAAACAAATTCCCGGGGCCCGTGAGACCTGAGGGCCCCGGATTCTAATAGGGGAAACTAAAAAAAAAAGAAAGAGGGAGGTCGGTTATTATTTATTTAGGGGACCAAAAAAAAAGGGTCTGTTATTATTTTTTTTCACCGGGGCCCGACCTAGCTCTCGGCGGCCACTTGTATGTTGTCCAGATATTTTCAATTATTGCAAATTAAGTACAAAGTTTCTTATGCTACCAGCCAGTAGATTTCAAGTTTTTGAAAGCCCGCAGAGCTTGAGTAAATAAGGGCGCCCGCAGGGCGCTAGTATATCAGTGCACCCGCAGGGCGCAAGTAAACCAATGCGCCCGCAGGACGCGAGTTATCAATGAAAACACCCATCACAAACATTCGTGCCCATAGGGCACGAATACCATCAAAAATCCTGCACTTACATTAATTTAATTGAAAATTTTCAAAATATCTCTTTTATCGTTCGATACCTTTTTGTTATTATTTGTAGGTAATTTAATTATCTTTCAAAGGAAACCAGATTCAAGATAATCAGCTCGAAATAACCAAAGTTATAAGCGAAAAGGTAACACCGTGTCAGGTGCCCGAAATTTTCCAAAATAAAAAATCATTTCTATTTTTTTGCGGGCTTAGAAAGCGTCGGAGCAAAAAAGGTCAAGAGACATTTTCGATGTATTTTTTACTCCTCTATCTGATGGAGATTTTAAATTTTCAAAATTCGGAAAAATAAATGCAGGGCACGTATACCCCATTACACGCCCTTTTTCGAAATTAGGGGGATAAGGGCTAAAACTTTTTCAATAAGTCGTAGAGGGCTGAAACTTGAAATTTCAACTTTTTCAGACCCCTTTTACTCATCCCAAATTTCGTCCGAATCGGCCCCAAAAAAATTTTTTGAAATAGTGTTTGAGAAATTACCCAATTTATCTGGGGTTGTCATATTTCATTCCTTCAAAAACTATGTATTTGTAACTTTTGTGTCCTTTGTTAAATTTTTCTGAATTTTCGATACATTCTGCTCTTAATATCTTATACAGTATACCAAAAATCATAAATATCTACCATTCGTAAGCGATACAACCGAGGATACAAAATACAATAGAAAAATTGTATTTCCTGAATTTCTTCTACAATTTTTCTTAAATTTCCTCTTTCTCCATTTTTTATCTTTTTTGTCACAATTTTGTCTCTTCCCGGCTCTTGAATTTTAGTTTTCTCGTCTCTTTCTTATTTATTGAATTTCTTAAATTGCTGTCTCTTGATTATTCCCAGATCTTAGCCACTCAAGCGTCGGGAATAATCAAAGTTTGCGTCACTATTCAATTTATCCCACTTTATTTCAGTCTTTTCCTCAACTGTTCAGTTTCTTATATTCTTTTCTTTGTTCTACTTGTCTATTCTTATTGACCAGATACAAAAATTACATACAAGCCCACTAAAGCGCCGGTAATAATAATTATTTAAATTCGTGTCATATTTTCTTCTGATTTCCCCTCATTTATCTTTATTTCCGTCTTTTTCTCATTTACTGAATTTCTTATACTGCCCATATGACACGAATAACCATCAAAAATCCTTCATTTACATCAATTTAATTGAAATTTTTCAAAATATCTCTTTTATTTTTCAATACTTTTTTGTTAATCTTTGTAGGTACAGTAGTGTCGCGATAATCCGATCCCGCGATAATCCGTATGCTTCTGTAATCCGCATCGCTTTTTCGTTCCCTTGATGTACTCTGTAATCCGGATTTCACTTGATTCAGTAATCCGAATTCATTTACATGAGTCTTTGAAATAAAAGCATAGGTTTTCACTTGTCGTTTTGTAACTGCGTTCAAGTGAATAGGTAGTTTTTACATGTCTATGATGCTACAAAACCTTAAAGAAATTGCTTTTGAAAACAACGGCACAGCAATCATCAAAGTAAAATCACCAACTTCTTCCAAGCGGTGCAGAGAAATGAAGAAGAAGGTGGACAAAATTCAAATGGTGAAAATAATGTAAACGAAAGTTGGAACAATATTGACTAGTTATTTTTACACTTATGTACATACTTACATATTTCGCACTCTATATAGAATTATTTTTTTCATTTGTCTTGTTTTTCAAATAAATATAAAGCTTTTCCTGCTTAAATACAGCATGTTGTATTTTCAAAATAGTTTTAAAAGCGGACTGTAAAATGCCTTAGTAATCCGAATAATTCGATAATCCGGATTGGTCTGGTTTTAATAATTGATCCGGATTATCGCGACACTACTGTAATTTAATTCTCTTTCAAAAGAAACCAGATTCAAGATAATTAGTTCGAAATCACCAAAGTTATAAGCGAAAAGGTAACGCCGTGTCAGGTCCCCGAAATTTTCCAAAATAAAAAATCTTTTCTATTTTTTTGCGGGTTTAAGAAGCGTCGTAGTAAAAAACGCCAAGAGACATTTTCGACGTATTTTTTACTTCTCTATCCGATGGAAATTTTAAATTTTCAAAATTTCGAAAAATAAATGCAGGGCACGTATACCCCATTACACGCCCTTTTTGAAAATTAGGGCGATAGGGGCTAAAACCTTTCCGATAAGTCGTAGAGTATTATACTTCATTGATTTCAAATTTTCAGAATTTGTTAATTAGAGTGAAAAGTTTCAGGTGCATTTTCCAATCCAAATGGCATCCTGTTGAAACGATAAGTTCTGAAAGACTGTTTTATCACGATCAGGCCCAAACACTTATCTAGTGATATACGGAACGCAAATCCAAACACGTCATATGAATACAATTTTATGAAAAAAAATCAAAAGTAGGGATTATGTGACGGGTGAATGTATAGGAGGTGAATTCAGAACTTTGAAATGAAAATATATCTTATTTACAATCTGTAGTCTAAAGGTACAGGTAAATTTATCACCTTTTCCTATCAAATAGCATTGAAATGTAATAAATTTCACCTGTACCTTTGGACTACAGATTGTGAATAGATAATAGATACGAAAATCTGGTTTGCGGATTTATGATTTAATCATGGTGACAATACAGTTTTATGAAAAATAATCGGAAGTAGGGGGTGGATGATGAGTGTTAAGAGGGTAAATTTATAACTCTGAAATCATACGGTTTTAAGATTTATATGATTTGGTCTAATGATAATACAATTTTATGAAAAAACACGGTGGATGCAAATTGTAAAGGAAGCAAATTCAGATTTGTTCTGGTGATAATACAATTTCATAAAAACAAAGTGGTAAGAGGTGGTTGAGGTATCGCAGGGCGCGAGTAAATCAGTGCGCCCGCAAAAGAAACCAGATTCAAGATAATCAGTTCGAAATCACCAAAGTTATAAGCGAAAAGGTAACGCCATGTCAGGTCTCCGTAATTTTCCAAAATAAAAATCTTTTCTATTTTTTTGCGGGCTTAGGAAGCGTCGGAGCAAAAAACGCCAAGAGACATTTTCGATGTATTTTTCACTCCTCTATCTGCTGAAAATTTTAAATTTTCAAAATTCGGGAAAATAAATACAGGGCACGTATACCCCATTACACGCCCTTTTTCAAAATTAGAGGGATAGAGGCTAAAACCTTTCCGATAAGTCGTAGAGGGCTGAAACTTGAAATTTCAACTTTTTCAGACCCCTTTTACCTACATTCCAAATTTCGTCCGAATCGGCCCCAAATTTTTTTTTATAGAATTCAAAGGTGGTATATCCTTATGAAAAACTCATTTTTTTACTTTTTAGTTTTGTTCAATTTTGTCTTCATTAATAGTTGAAAACAACCCTGACAGTGGTTCTAATTTAAGCAAAAAGTAAAATAAAAAAAAATCTATTTTTGGCTCTGGATAATGTTCAAATTCTTGATATGGTCATGAAC